TGCCCTTTTTTCGCAGCAGTGCACTTTTTAATGACAGTATCCATCGATTCTGTAAACTTATTTTGTCAATTTTCGACTGAGAGTCATACTGTCTTCTGCGGTCGCTATTACTGGATATATCCGGAAGCATAAATTTCCATTTTAAACCGTACTGACATTTCAATCGACTTCCGTATGTTCATTAAAGAGCGTGATGTGTCGCGTTGCACGGACTGTATGGTAGGCCTATTTTTGATTTTTTATCTGATCAACAGCTGACATTCTTGTAAAAGGTGTCTTTTCATACTATCCTAGGAGGGTTTTAAATTTAAAGTTATCGCATGCGCCACAAGGAAGTCGAGAAGACTTCCTAAAAATAGTACGTGCATTTGGGGATTTTTTTGAGTTGGGTTTGTGACGGAAACACGTGATTCACGAAAAGATGACGCAATTGGAGTATTGAACATGCGCAAGAACATCTCGTGACCCGCTGGAAGGTTTGAAAAGGACAGGCAAAGTCATTTTGCGGGAGAGTGCATTAGAACGAAGGGAATTCAGACAGTTTAAGACTAAAACATCGCACAATGGACGCATCAAAAACTGAAGTATTGTCCTCTGAATCCAGAGCAATTCCTTCCAGACGAATTGTCGTCAACGACCCAGGTCAGCTACCGATGGATTATTCCACTACTCCTGGTGGAACCATATTCTCTACGACTCCCGGCGGTAAGTTTGTGCGTTGTTTTGGATGTTTTAATGCAGAATTGAGCAAGATTACACTGTGAAGACCGATTACGAACTGAATGCCCCAAGTTTTTAATTACAGCCTTCGGCTCTGAGTTTGTTTTGAGCTCATAGACACCTCGATTTTTAACTGCGTAGTTGGGAATTTGTGGACATGCAACTGCAACGCAAGCGTTTTAGTTTGCTGAGACCTTGCTCAATCCGTATGGGAAATTTGGTTGTTTTGCTGCCCCAGATGTGGAGAGCGTTGAGATTTTTTTCTTTCCTTATCGATACGTGTTTGTTCTGTAAATCATTAAACCGTGTTTGCTTCGAGAGTGTACAGTAGGTGTACTTGTACAACGAAAAGTGCTTGCGTTGCCCAACCAACCTTCATCGTTCATCGTTCACACTCGTTTTTTCTGATGGGCTTAAGCTCGATAAATTTTTAAGCAAATTCGCCGTTGTATTGAAATTTTTTACTTCGAATGCCTAACCTTCAGAGGTTTCTTTTTACTGCATGATATTATTCTCTCACGTAAGGGAGGAAATCGGAAAACAAAAGTAAATGCTTGGTGTTGTGATGTCGTCATAACTCTCTTGTGACTTTCCTAAGTCGTACTTATATCATTGCAAAACAGTCTGGACTGATTGATCAGAAAAACCCTTCGTCTCAAGGTTAATTTTTCGTTCTTTGAACTGAAGAAACTTTTCAAAACGTTTCTCTAGGCCTGTGTTTATGTTTGGACGTGCTCTGCCGTGGCTCGCATTGTATGAGACTCGTCTTTTTGTTTTGGTGATGTAAACAATATCCACGTGTTTTGCAGGAGTTCAAGGTTCCGTATCTAATTTGCATTTCAAAGCTACTTTGATTTAATCTAAAATGGATCAAATTCCCTTGTCTGCAAACAATGAAAAGCATAGTAAGTTTCGCTTTGATCATTCTTGGGACTGGGTTCAAAACACGACTAACCTTACCCGGGTTACAGTAAATTTTTAATTAAGTTTAATGGCTTTGCAAAGGGATTTTTCTTTTTTGTTTTTTCCCGTTAGTCTCGAGTCATACTGAGATAAACCCCAATAAAATTTTAGCCCTTATACATGCTCATCTACATAAAAAATTTAAGTCAAGGTTAGCTTTAAATCTTTTTTCCCCTTTTAAACAACCTAGCCCAGTACTTCACACAAAATGTCTATTCTTACTTCACAGCTTGTTTTGAATAATTTTTCTTGTTTTGGTCAGTGTCTGTTTATTTTCCATAAGTTCTGTTTTCCATAAGTTGTAATCATCTCATATGATATGCCTATTTTATGGTTCCAGGCTTTACCTTCTTTCATCTTAACTTTGGCTTGCTATAAAGAAAGTAACAAGTTTGGTCAGATTGTGCTGTGTTTGCCAGTGAAACATGCAAAAATTGAAATTACTACCTAGTATGCATTGTGTGCTTGGCTAACATCACTCAGCCTCAATCACTTTTTGTGTTGTCTTTGTAATTGTGGAAGCCTTATGTTGCAAACTTTTGGGGTTAGGGAGCAGAACAGTATTAAAGTGAAAGCTTTTGATAGCATCATGAATTTGTCATTGAGCTTAGGTCAGTTGTTAGTTATCTTGATATTCACTGTCCTTAAGGTCTGGCATTTTTAATTTTGGAGGAATTTTAAATGTATTTTGAAATCTTTGGCTAATAACTTGCCTAATGCATGTCTTGGAACCAGCTGTGAACCAGTGCAATGGGAAATTGTTGGTAACAATTGGCTAAGTGATGGTTCTGTTTTAACTCTTAACTAAACTTTTTATCAGGAGGTGGCATGATGTGTTCACAAAAATATATATTTGGTAGTATTTCTCATTGTTACATATATTTAGAATTATTATAGAGTAGTGGGCAACTTTTGTGAACAGATCAACTTTTAATATTGACATATTACACTTGCACATAAGCTTAAATAAACTACTGCGCTTTACTTGTTGAAATGAAGTTCTAACACTGCTTCCTAATTCATTTTTTGAGTTGGGTGGCCAACAGCTTTGTTTTGATTTTTTGTAAAACAATTTTGAAGTTCCCCAGAAAATTAAAAAAATGCTCTAAAGCTCAGGTAGGGTTATTTTTATTTAAAATGGTGAGCCTTGTTATTGTGTGAATGATGTCAGTTTGTTACTTTTTATCTCATCCTTTGTGGTGTTTAAGTTTACATTAAGTAATACCTTGTTTATTTTATAGGGACACGTATAATATACGAGCGCAAGTTTCTGCTGGAATTGCGCAATTCTCCTTTGTCACGTACGCCTCCACAGAATCTGCCAATGATACCAGGTGTAACTTGTGATGCAAAGTTGAAGCCAGGGGTTCGCAAAGACAATGGTGTACATGGTTCTGAAACAGAGAATGATAAGAATGACCATGGTAAGGAAACACATGCTTAATTCTGTTTACTAAATAGCTGGCTCTAGCTGTTAATTTTTTCATCTCATAGTGAACAATTCAAACTAATTAAGGTAAATTTAAACATGCAAATCTAATCAATAAGTTTGATATTCAATGAACCAATGGAATTTCAGGTGGTTGGTAATCTATTTTTATATGTTTAAGCTGCAGAAGCACTTAAAACTGCTGTAAGGTGTGTTGTGTTAATGCAAGGTGCCATAGATAACCCCAATGAGGCATATGTATACAATACCTAGTCATAAAACTTGCTTCACTTGGAAAAATAATACTTTACAAAAAGGAAAGAATGAAAGAAAAAAAGGAAAGCCCAGTTCCTCTGAGCCTTCCCAGAAATTTGTTGACTTGTTGTATTCTAATATCAGTATGAATGTTCTCCATACTGTTCTGCATACATTTCCTAAGGTGCTGACAAGGAGAATTTGTTTAACAGTCAAGAGCTTCATAAGTTGGTGATCATTTTATTTTTTCCCATGAGCTTAATGAGTGGTTCAGGGGTGATATTATATCAAACAAACAACAGCAGAATAAGAATCATTGTTCTTTTTTACATCTATTTTGCAGGAGATGTACCCACCCAGTTTGAGATGGACATTTAATGGCTAGCTGCAATTGTTATTTTAGGGACTGTTGTCTGATAGATTATGCAGATGCACATTGTCTAAGATCAAGTGTTGTCATTGAGTGGGTGTAAATATTGTGATGTGAAGTGTGGAGCAAATGAATGGTGTTGATAAGAGAATCAGTTGTAATCAAAAATTGGAACTGGTTGTTTCTTGTCAACCAGAAAAAAAATGTCTGAAAAAGAAGACTGACTTTTGTCATCTGATATTGTACATACAAATTTGCTTTCTCTCAAATCTGTCAGAGCAAATGTCCAAATAAAGTGCTTGGACCCAAAACTAATATAATTTTGACATTAATGTTGGGTTGTCATACTTTGGAGTAATTTTCAGTTCAGTCCCTCCACTTACCTTTTTAGTCCTAAGGGCCACCTGGCCTATACTTATAACTGTTGGGGCTGATCTTTGTGGTTTCTGTTGCATAAAGGGCAGTATGGCATGTTATATGGATGGAAGGTTTGTCAATCACAGGTAACCCTGGAGTATTTTTGCTGGCTTCCTCCACAGTTTTCCAATACCCATTAATACTCCTGAGCAAGAGAAGTTCTGTGAGAATAAAGCATCTCACTCTTGAACACACCACACCGCAAAACAAAACCCAGGCCACAGCTCAAACTCACACCACTGGAATTAGTAGTGGAGCTGATTTGTGATGGTATCTCAGCTTTCCCTTTTCATAATTGCATTCTTGCCTGTGCTATGTCACATTTCAATCTTCACTCAGGTATTGCTGAGAGAAAACACAGTTGTCTTTTTACAACACAACCTTGCACTTCCTGATATCAAACCAAGCAAACAAACAAACAAAAACTGGAAAAAAAAATTATGGGTTTGCTTTATTCCTTGTTTCGGTGGCATTCTGCTACAAGGAATATTTTAATCTCTATTGGGAAGGATGTTAGTCTGTAACCCCCCCCCCCCCCCCTTACTGAAGGTGAAGAGAAGTACTGGAAGACACGGAAGTCTTACCCAGAATCACAGCATGGAACAAGTGACTCCACCTGGGATTTGAGCTTGGGCTTCTTTATTAGGAGTGGAAAGGAAAAATCTGTATTTTAGATAAGGCATGTGCTGTGTGCTCCTGAAATTGAACTTTCAATTTTCATTTGTGGGCTTTTGCTGTTGTATATTGAATTTGATATTTTGTCTACAAAACAATTGGGGATTGGGGCTAATTTATTTTTATACCATATTTCCATATACATTTGGTCATCCAAAAATTTATCTCCCTTCTTCAAAATGGTCTTTGAAAATTGAAACCACCAGCTATTGAGGCTCACTATAGATGGATCCATCAACACCCAAACACAAATTCCTCATTCGGTAAAGGCTATTTGTTTTCACGTTTTCAAGAAATGTTTCGTGTTCCCTTACATTTAACTTAAAGGTGAATTTTACTCTCGAAAGCATACTGTGGTCTGATTCTTTCCTTCAAAGCCTTTGTGTCGGTTTTTATTTTTTGACCGAAGGAAAATTAGAACCGATTTAGTCAATTTGTCTAGTGGTCTTCTTGGGTTGTCAGCATCTCGAAGATGCTTTCGTACAATAAATGATGGTCGTGACTAAGAGATACCAGTGAAAGCGGAACTAGAACAAGCACGGACATACCAGGCTTGGCGCTTGTTAACCATAACAGTTGTAAAGGGGGAGCCTTCGAGCACCCTCAAGGAAATGGGAATAAAGTTGCTTTTTCAAGACAGACCAACCAACAGGAATAAAATTTGAAAAAATAGAAGTGAATGGTCACTTAGATCTGAAAATAAGTATGACTCCTTTGGTGTGTACACACCTCCCACCTTTACGGTGGTGAGTTTTCATACACAATTCGTACACCTCCTGGTAGATTATCTTGATCAAGAAACTCCCAGGGGAACTGTCCAGAACCTGGCATTGTAAAAGTGATTTCGGTGTAATACTGGAACTGGAAAGCCACTCCCTTCTTCTGCCAATCGGTCCAAAGTTTATCAAGAAAACTGTGAAGAAGCCAAAATTCCGGAGAAAAAGAAGCCTTGGAATGATGAGCCATGTTGCCTCCAACACAGTCATGGAATGTCGTGTGGAATTGCTCACGAACTGTATGTTCGAAGAGAGTAAAATTCTCAAGCTGGATAAGATCACGTACTTTTTGCAAGTTCGGTAAAAAGCAAGAAAAGTTAAATTCTCTTTTAATGCAGCCTCCACCAGCAGACCAAGGCAATTGGAATTCTTTCTGTTGGAATGGACCATTCATAACGCAGTTATTTGGTGATATACCATTACCCCCAAGACCGTCGGGTCCTGGGCTCCAAACTGCCGCTTGTGTCCAGTGTTCTGACTCTCCGGTCCAGTCCCAGAAAGGAATTGTTATACGACAATCAATTTGACGAAGAAAGTTTTCAAACTGCATCAAATACCATCTATGCCAGGGAAGAAATATTTGAGGCATGTGATGAAGAAATTTGCTCGGTATTTTTGAATGCAGCGTGGCTATATCCTCATAATAGGTTTGGTATTGAGGACTAGAAGAACCTAGTTTGAAAGCGTTAATAAAGCGCTGTCGCTCTGTTGGGCTCATGGCGGTAAATTGTTTTCGTACTCTGTAACAAGACACAAGGTCTCCATCATGACAGCGACACTTCCTGTGACACTGGTCAACAGTTGATCTGTTTTCCTCGCAAGGCATCTTGATACCTAAGAGCATAGGAAGGAGAAATCTTCTTTACTCGGTTTTGCAGTTCATTTGACAGTTGAAATTCCCTTTAATCGGTGATATGATTGGCCTGCACGTATAACGTTACCTTATTTAAGACTTCGGGTGTACCTGTTCACTTAGCGGGTGACTGACGTAATAACTGACTTACTGATCGGTTGATGTACTGATACAGACTTTTGATAACGAATAATTGAATGGCATACGCTCTGCCGACTGATAGACCGACTTAATGATTTATTGATAAAGGAGGTAAGTTTCTAAAGAAACTGTGGTGCTGCGTCGGTGGGAGAGTATAACAGGTAATTTAGTGTTAACGACTGAGTTGAAAACGTAAATTAACCACCGTAAAGGTAAAAAAGCTGACGTTTCGAGCGTTAGCCCTTCGTCAGAGCGATTGACGAAGGGCTAAAGCTCGAATCGTTAGCGTTTTTATCCTTTACGGTGGTTAATTTACGTTTTCAACTCAGTTGTTAACACTAAATTACCTGTTACTGACTTATTGATTGATTAACTGATACACCTAATATAAATATGTATGTATCAACTGCCTGGTTGTCTGACTAACGGGATAAAGGTGGTAAGTTTCTACAGAAACTGTGGTGCTACGTCGCTGGGGGAGTATAACCAGATCATTTCACGTTTCGAGTGTTAGCCCTTCGTCATTCGCTGTGACGAAAACTAAAATTAATAAAACTTATAAAAAAGTCAGTTCATTGATCGTCCAGAAAATGTTATTTCTAGTCATGTTAATAAACTGAATTGATTATAATGAGTTGACCTGCCACGTAGCCTCGCAGTGTTGTGATATCCAGATGGGGACACGCCTGAGAAAGACTCAATGCTGTCACTAGAACATAGTGACGAAAAGTTGATAATAGGTTGCCAAGACAACGAGGAACAGAGAGGCAATCAATTGTAGCCTGTGGAATATGAAAAGAAATCAATATGAATTGAATAGGGCAACACAGATACCTTGAAGGTAATTCAAAGGGAAAATAAGTAAGCCGGGGGAAATTTATACCGAAAACTAGTGTTAACATGAGAGCTGATGTCAGAAATGTTCGCGTTCAAATTTTGTTAAATAAAGCCCGAACCGAGTATGGAATTTAGGGTTAACTCAGTAAAGCAGAGAAAAACTGAACATTCAGTTTCGAGGATATCTCGCGATAAAGTTGAACTAGGCATAACAAGATCAATCACTCCCAGGTGATGTTCTCTTAGTTAGAAAAGTTCTCCAGGCGAGGAGAAGTTTAAAAGCATGAGCGACTTACCTGAAGAGCTTTACAATCCTTTTCCCGAATGTTTTGGTTTCCACTTTCTACAGCTTTTAACAACCTCTGGGAATGATCTGAACACTGCTGAATAACCACACCTGCACAAGTTTCTATTTTTTGTGACGACGAAAAAAAACTTCTGCCAAATAGCGTGAACAGCACAAGGAAAATGTGCACTAAACCAAACATGATTGTTGATCAAAGACAGTGGAATTGATAGTGTCAATGTCCGGCAGCTAATGGGAAGGTTGTGATCAAAGCTGGCTAACGACATGTAATGATGAAATTCGTTCCTCTCATTTCTTTTAACACCTTGACTCCTTAGAGCGACCGGCCTCTACCGGTAATTTCTCCTTACAATATCAGCCCTGAATCATACATTAAGGTCAGAGAATAAGGAAAATGATCCCCAACTAAAGAAGTTCTTGATTGTTAAACAAGTTCTCCTCGACAGCACCTTAGCAAATGTACGGAAAATCGTATGGGGAATATGCACCCTAACATAAGGGTGAAAAGGATTGAGAAGTTTATGCAATTTAAAATTCCGATCAATACAAAAAAAAAATAATAATAAATAAAAAACCGCAGGCGATTGCCGACCTTAGCAAATCACAATGAGGCAGCTGCAAATGTTAATCATTCTCCCCAGTGTAAATTCGTGAGATCTTGTTTTTGACAAGATCTTTACGAACTTTCGACTCAACAGGTAAAGAGAATGTATTAGCTTGGCCTCGAACGGCATAAATCACTTACTTATGGGGTGCGAAAACTAGAAATTTGTATTTTGGCAAAATTAATTCAAACTGAATCAAAAAATGAATTACTGCTGGAGACTCGGATATGTTATTATAAGACTGCGCTAAAAGTCAGTAGGAAGGCAAATTCTCACTTAAAACAACCCAGGGTAAATTAAAATCGTCATTTCTCCCAATTGGTCTTTACGGAATGATAATCTGAAATTTATTTCCGGACACTGTCATTGTCTTATCGATGAAAAGACATATTCAAAATGGTTACAGCAACGTGCGTCTTATTTTTCAAAGGAGAGATAGAAATCATATCCTCTTTCTGTGCACCCTGCTGTCATTTCGCCTTCCAAAATCACCATGATAATATGACAAATGATATGTTTACACTAAAGAATCCGAACCAAGGCAACAAGCAAACTATCTAGTTGGGTGACCCTAATACTGAACTCTTATTATCACACCGTGGCTTACACGATGGCAGCGGGTTCCAAAATGGATCACGTACACTTGTGAGCGGTGATGTTACCACAAGAAACATGTATGACTATATTCAAACTAAAACAGTTTCGTTTATATTTTCATTTTTATTTTTACTTTGCTTATCCTTTTCCTTTGCATAAACTAAAAAAAAAAAATGGAAGACAGAGAGGTCTGTAAAAGTTTGAAACGAACAATCAAAGCAACACAGAACTGGATTATTTTCCTTTGATTTCGTCCGCTGATCTGGCAGTATTGATTAAAATTACCTCTTTTTTGGAGTGTTGTAAAACCCAATCAAAAAATGAACCCCGATTTTTTTTCCATTGGCAAATGCTTAACAAACATCGTTTGCCAATCAGTTGTGCAAAGTAGTTTCTTGTTGTAATCTGATCAGGTCATCAAACCATCCAATTACATCTTTTAATTACCACATGCAAATCTATTTAACACGTACTTGTTCGTTTGTATTGGTCTGTTTTATCGATATCACTCTCACACCGTGAACAATTACATCAAGTGTACCCTATCTGCAGGTGGGGAAGTGGCTATTTGATCGAGGTGAGCTCTTGCTTGACTCGCCACGCAAATACCACTGGCCTAAAAATAATGGATTAAGGCCATCAGTAACCTCTTTGGAATAGAAGCTGCGATTCGATTTTCCATCTTCCAACTGAGGATAACAATTTTTAATGGACAATCGACCAATAGTAAGCCGCCTATTCATTTTGGTTACCAATAATCTGAATTACTGTAGTGTTACTGACTTTCATTAGTAAATGTCGCTGCGAAGAACTGATGTAAAATTGTAGAGGAGAAAAGGGTGGAAAGATGATTCACACACTCGCCAACTGTACAATTTCTTGAGAGGGTAAAAATCAGATTCATTCTTTTTTCAACGATTACCATGATCTTCCCCAGTTGATTTTAATGGTATGTACTTATCAATACTACGTTAAACAAGTTTATGAGTTTTCCTAAATGAGGTTTTGTTCATAGCAAAAAGCTGAAAATTGCCAGGTTAAAATATTCGAATTTCCCGCTTGTTAAGGATTGTCTTGAGCAAGAAACATAAGTGACTGAACTGATCTCTCCTTTGCAGTTGATGGATAAAATATATGTTGTCTATGAAACATGGAATGTAAAGAAAGAAAGTTAGGAATGGAATCATTTCCATCGCTTGTAAAAGAATTTACATGAAAGCAACAAGTTTGTTGGATAACTAAATCAGTCCATGACCTGACAGCAAGCGAAAATATATCTTTCCCTCTGAGATAACAATTCCATTTTCTTCATGGTAAACTTGAAACTTATCACATCAATCAGACACAGCCACAAAGGTGTGTAACTTTTAAACAAAACTGTTCAGCCTTGAATTAAGAGTGGAATCCCCTGGATTCTCATAGAGGATTTTAACTCCACCGGGTAAGTTATGATTATCTAACAGTTCCCATGAAAACCTTCCGCTCAAAGGCATCTCAAAGGTTATGTTGATGAAATACTCAAACGTGTGACTGGCTCCGTTCATCTGCCAATCTGCCCAGAGTTTATCTATGAAGCTGTGATGAATCCAGAACTCCGGAGAGAACGAAGCCGAGTGATGTTTTAACATATGGCCACCAACACAGTCGTGAAAAGCAGGATGCACTTTTTCCCGAACAAACTTTTCAAACGCAGTAAAATTTGCATCCTTTGTTATTTTTTGAATCACGTCTTCGCCTGGAAGGAAACATGAAATGTTAAAACGTCTTTGTAAACAGCCTTGTCCAATATCTTCAGGTATAAAGAAAGCATCTTTCTTAAAAGGCCCGTCTCTGACACAATCATCAGACAAAGTACCGTCACCCCCCAAACCGTGAGGACCTAGATTCCAAACATCGTTTGCCTCCGTTTCTCGGGCCCAGTGTTTTTCGTCCTTACTCCAGTCCCAATAGGGAACTGTAACCCTACAGTCAACTTGACGAAGGATGTTTTCAAACTCCAGCAAATACCATCTGTGCCAGGGTAGAAAGATCTGAGGCATGTGATGGAGTAGTTTAGTCGGCATCCGTGCATGAACATTGCAGATCCTTCTGTACTCATCTTTGTAAATAGGGTTTGTCGCAGCGGTTTTGAGAACGTTTGTGAATCTCCTTCGTTCCTCGAGGGTCATAGCTGTAAAGTCTTTTCTGATCCGATGACAGAATAAAAGTTCGCCATTGTAACACAAACATTGACGTTCACATTCATCAAACCATGGGCCGTTTTTATGACAAATCACTGTATTACCTAAAAATTCATTCCAAGACAAGTGATACAGAAGATCAGTGAAGGAAACTGTGTCAGTCTAAATCAAGTTATAAGTGAACGCCAATTTTCCTCAAAGTTATGACAAACTTTTGATTCAGTTTTGCACTGAGTAAAATGTGTTTTCATCCAAAAGCGACGAGAAAAGTTTATGTCTCCTGTTCTCTTCTAAGATTCTGCGCGACATAAAATGTACTTTTGCTTCCACTTCTCCACATCTTCTTGGTCGTCACTCACTGATTTCTATAAAATGTTGTTAAAGGAGCTGATTTTCCTTTACTGCTGGTTCACAAAGAATGAGGTGACTAAGAGTAATGCTCGAATCCTCCTGAACAAGATTTTAGTTTACTCCTAAGGGAGGAGTCGGGATTTTTTAAAAAGGGGGGGTCACATTGTCAAACAGAGGGTACTCACCAAATTATCATGTCGACCTCCACCCCGTGTTTTACTTAATGTGATAAAAATAGGGCCTACAAAGGGGTAGGGGGGAAGGAAGGGGGGGAGGGTTCATGAACATTCTAGGACCCCCTCCCCTAAGCTATGCCTCTGATCCTCAACATCTTGTCAAGTTTCCTTTACAGTTACCCAATACCCATTTATACCCTTGGCTGGAAAGAGGCACCGTGCGAGTGAAATGTCTGCCCCAAGGACACAACACGATGATCCCCTGGTGTTAAGTTCTTCAATCAAGTATGCTCGGTGTTTTCAGGTGTCCTACTCTTATTCAGGCCTAAATGACTAAACTAACAATATGAAAAAAGACTTTACCTGTTATGTATCGCTTTAACCCAGCATAGTTCAAGCTTGGACACAAACCGCTTTGTTTCATCAAACTCGCTGTTGTAATCAAGAGCGAACGGAACGTAGTCAGAAGGTCACCGGGACAGCGGGGAACAGACAGGCAGTCAACAGCTTTCTACGACGAAACAAGTTGAGACGTACGTTTAACCATTTTTAAACTTTCTTTGGCAATCTTCTTCATAACCTTGTCCTATAAATATGATCCTCGAACTTTTATTGTGAGTAAAAGAGTTTCGTCGGATTAAGGATGTTTTAATGAGAATTCATTAACACTTATTCGATTAGCTTATTTAGTGAGAACTTAATGTAAATCTAAGGTTTTCATGGAATCGTCTGAAAACTGAGTTTGGACATCAACAGGGTCAACCAGATCTAATACATTACGATACGGAAAAATCGACATGCAAAAAATTGTTGTTCTTTCATTAAATACCTGCACTTCTACACAGTTTTGAAACAGTTGATTCGAGTTCCTTCTCTCAAAGGCTTGAAAAACTTCATGGAAATTGGACGCACAGTTTTTGATCGTCATTTTCTGACATAACTCAATATTTTCGACAGATCTCACGCAGAGAGTTAAAATCGTAATGACAAAGACAAGCTGGGTACAATGAGTAACCATTTTGGGGATCTTTTTTCCAAAAATCATCGTGAAACACGAGGGTTAGATACATACATATATAACCAGCTGATTTCCTTCCTCTTGTCATGGTTATATATTTAAACGACACTCTGACAAGATGTGTTTAAAAAAGTCATGAAAAAATACTAATTAAAGTCAACAGGGTGACATGGTTTCTTCCTTGATATTTATTACCAATTCAAACAACTTTTTGTGATATTGTTCCACATCATTTAATTATTAGGAAATATATT